TCCAACAACAGTTCTTAGCCTATTAGGTCCTAAGTGCTCTTTATCAATTGCACTAGTCACTAATTTTTTATGTATTTTTAATAACTTCCTCTTCCAAATTGTGAGGTGGATTGGTTTTTTTTCTACCTGCATAAAATTTCTAAATTTATAACACAGTCAGCAATTTTACTCATGCAGAAACTTATATTTATTTCACAAAGTCTTACTACTGCAGGAACTCAAAATTTTGTTTCATATGGAACCATGTAAAGAATTGAGTAACAGCAACCTGGAAAAAAGAAGATTGGAAGAGATCTACAGCAAGTTATTTTTTAGATATAAAATATATTTTCTACTGATAGAAGTGTTAAGACACGATTCAGACATTTTTGAAGTTATTAAGACATCCAGTTGGAAGAAACTAAGCACAAGAGAGAATAAATAACTTGCACAACATCTCACAGAAGACACAGCATTTGAGCTCCTAATTGTCATGTTAGGACCCTACAAAAGTAGGGTAATGCACCATTCTCAGAGATGACTTCACTTTCTGGGACTGTGGGATGTTTGAAGAATGGTTAATTACTTGGAAGGCTAATGGCAAAGAGAAGGTTTGGGAGAAACAGTTGCAGTTATAAACCTGCCTATTTGCTCTACCAGAAGACATCAAATCTGTCTCAAAAAATCATGCAAATCGAGCAAGGTTTATAAGTATTTAAGACAGCAAAAATAATGGCCCAAACTACAGACTCTTCCCACAACAACTGTATGGCTGTACAGTAAAAAAACATATTGTAATTCTGCAGTATTTTTTTAATTTGTTTTTGAAACTGTTACATATACTCTTGTGGTTGCATGTATTTTTAAAATTGTCACAAACTTTTTTGCAAGGCAATGAAGTAAACATCCAGGACAGTATCATGGCTTCATAGGATTTTCTTTTCTTCCATAAGGATTTATAATCTGACTTAAATAAATACAAATAAAAAATTATTTTCAATTTTAATTTTGGTTAATTAGAGGAAGTTTTATATTTTTATATCAGATCAGTAACATAATTCTTTGTGGATTGTCTTTAACCAAGTTTATGCCATTTCTAAACTTACTATTTTTCAAATACACTTACTTATTTCTGCCCAGAATTACATCCTCAAACAGCCAGCTCCCTGAAAATAGACTATAAAGTACAACATCTGGAAATCTTATCAAAATATTTTTGGCAGCAGTATAACAGGAAGACAGTTAACAGCAAAAGGACAAAATCTGGAGTTTTGCAACTGAAAGCAGATTCTGGTATGAGCAAGATTTTGCTGTAACTGGGGTAGATTTACTTTACTTAGTTTCATGAATGCCAAGTCCTGGCTGCATCACAAGTACTCCTGTAGTCATTTTGCTACCCCTCATGATAGAGAACCTACAGAAGTTGCACAGAGAACCTATAGAAGCTATGGAGATTACAGCAGAATCACTCCTCTCCTAATGCCTACCCACTGACTAAACTACATGGTATTTGTTTTTGAAAACAATGAAAGGTTGATCTAACTTGTTCTACCCCACTGCAAATTTTCATCTGTCCTCTTTTAATCTCAGTATATTTATGTGGTACTCATTAATTTTTCTCCTGTTTTCTCTATCAAAATTGTAAGATATCTCTTACACACCTATGAAACTCTAACTATGTTATTACAATCTGCTTCAGCTAGTATTGTTTTATTGTGTTTATTTCCAGTTCCAAACTACCACCATCAAGACATTTCTGCTTTTTTACAAATAGAGTTAAAGATATGAAAAGCCTGCATAATTAAAGAGTCTTTCAAAGCTATCTAATTGCAACTTCTATGAAAATACATTACACTTAGATATGGAGATGAAGAAATTAGATCTGTCTATCTAAGCTCAGAAGCTCTCTGTCAGGTTTGAAACTTAGACAATGAAACTGAAATTAGTAATGCTGTATCTTAGTATCAATCCCATTCTTCATTTTATTTCTCTTAGAAAAGTAAAAACTGCATTAGAGTGAAAGACAAGCTATCTACCCATAAACACGATATCTCTTCATAGTCTTATTTGTGGGTACTGTGGAAATATTCACATTTCTGATGCTGATGACCTTTGGACACTGCCTGAAGAAGCAGTACCTGTTGTGACTATATGTGTTCCCTACTGACACCATATGAACACAAATGTGAGCCCAAATGGCTTATTTCTTTTCATTTACCACTAACTTCATATGGCATGTGGATACCCATAGAAGGGAAGTAACACCAGTGAGATCTCTGGCATAGAAACCACCTTCAAACTGCTATTGCTATTAGCTTTGTGTTTGCAGGAGTAAGGAAACAGAAAAAGAGGTTTTCATAAGCACTGTATCATGGTAAGATCAGTGTGTCTAAAGGGAGCTTTATACAGATACACGCTCTTATGAATCACAGAATCATCATAGAATATCCTCAACTGGAAAGGACTCACAAGGATCATCAAAGTCCAGCTCCTGGCCCCGCACAAGACAGCCCCAGGAGCCACACCATGTGCATTGTCCAAACACTTCCTAAATTCTGGGAGGCTTGGTGCTATGACCACTTCTCTGGGGAGCCTGTTCCAGTACCCAATCACGCTCAGGGTGAAAAATCTTTTCCTAATATCTAACCTAAATCTCATCCAGACACAACTTCATGCCATTCTCTCAGGTCCTACCATGGGTCACCAGAGAGCAGAAATCAGTGCCATGAAGATGATATCAAGTATGTTACAAACTAGCAGCAGAACAAATACGGCAGGAGCTGCCACGTACCCCTTCCCAGTGAGGCCACGCATCAAGGACAGGCATTGCAGTTACCACATTACAGGGTTTTTGCAACAGCAGGATAACCTCAGAAAGTGATTGGAGCCAAACATAACCATTTAGGGGCAAAAGGTTTATGTTTCCCTCGAGCAATGGTTTTCACTCTGGACAGTGGTATATCTGTGCCTTTGCAGGAATGGAAGAACATCTTAAGGACAGAAAAAACCAAAATTCTTTATAGTGTCTCAAAGACAATCTCTCTGCCAAGGATCCAGTAAAATTTCACTAGGTGCAGTAGTTCTGGAAGACACAATATTCAGGGAGGCATGCCAACTCCAGGAAGCGAAAGTAAAATACACTGATCTAAGTCTGCCTCCTTTATTCTCTCTTCCTCATTTGGAGTTCACTGGTTTATAAAACATACAGAGTTAAAGGCTGTTTCAGTCCAGAAGTCTAGCTACCCTGTGGCACAGAAATTAAGTAAAGGTTCATTGTAAATATACTCAAGCAGTCTGAATTTTAACATTGTTCACTACTGATAATTGTAACATGAAGAAAGTTGGTAAAACTGAACAAATCCAGGGTTCATGGAGCATGGTTCTTTGCAAGCAGAATGATTCAAGACCTAAAATGTAATTGAGATACTTCAGAACTACAGAGATAATTCACGAAAGGCTGTGTCAGCAGGACTTGTGCTCAGATGTCAATACAGCTCTGCACTTGTCAGAAACCCCTATAGCTCACTCAGCGGCACAAAAGGACTTAATTTCAAAACTGGAGATCAGTTTAGAGAGAAACAATGGGCTGTTTTAACAATTACAAAAATAATTTATCTAAAAAATACAAAATTTATTTGAGGTACAATCTGATCTTTCATGAAAATACTAAAATTTCCTGGCAAAACAGGTAGGAAAATATTTTGCATAAAGAGGAAGATTCTGGCTGTCAGAAGTCCTATTTTCTGTTCCTAAATTTGGTTAGGCAAAGCCACAGGTAAGATTTTTTGTAAAGATTCAAAAGTGAACCCTGCAAGTAGCTAAAAATAAGACAATACCTGAGTCTCCATGAGAAAAAGCAAGTACAGAAGAAATTATGAAGAAAAAGACTAGTAAATATTGTGTGAGAGGAACAGCCTAATAATGAGACCACAGATCAGAGGGTAAGCAGAAGCAGATTAAAAGGAGACCAACTACAACAGAAATGCAAAAATAAAAGGCAGCTAAAATAAACACCAATCACATGCTACCTTGCACATGGAGATGAAGGAGAAAACTTAGCAGGAAAAAAAAAGAAAGAGAAAGAAAATGGAAAAAAAAAAGCCTTAAACCAATATAAAAATGAGATAAAACCAAAGGGTCAGTCAGTTATTGAAAAACGGAGAGCAATGATGAACAGTGGACGTGGAAAAGAAGGGCAAACATCAGAACATCAGCAAGGGAAGTAATGTCTTTTTCTCTATTTCACTTGTACATACTGTACTGCACATTTCACAGACTCTCCAGATAGCTGCAGCACCATGGATCAGCCATAGGATCCATTAACAAACACTGTTTAAATATAAGTGTTTAAATACACTTTCACACCAAAAAAGGGGAGGGAAAAGACTACAGTGGCATCTAGGTTTATAAAGCATCAAGATAACATGAGGGAAATTGTGACAATTAATTTCACTGTTTTGACAGACATAACTTTTTTCTCCACACAAACATGTTTGTTATTTTGGATAACTCAGAACACAACACTTAACCAACATCCCTTAGCATATGGATATAGTCCCACAGAGCTACGTGTGGGCTCTTCAGAAAGAACTATTGGACCTATTCTGAGTCACATGGTGTGGACTAAATGCACATATATAGGAGTCTGTCATGGTATAACAGAAACTGCATAATCTAGTGTTGACTAAATCATAAATGTTTTGGTTTTTCCTTGAAAGCACTGTACTTAAAATTCTGCTGGGATGATCACAGTATACACAATATCGAGTACCTCACTTTCCACACATCTTTTCAAACAATAAGTCTATCGCCGGATGGAAAGATTATTACACAGTTGTTTATACAATATCCTGTTGACTGCTAGTTTTAACTACATTTACAAAAGCAGCATATATATACTCCAGACAGAAAAAAAAATATTATTCTGAAAAGCCATCATTTTATTGCAGGAATGGAAAGGTAGATGCAACAACTTGTATATTTGAATATACTTCAAGATAAAATAATCCCATGTTACTCACCTTGATCTCTTTCATGCCATGTCCGACTCCCCGCAGCTGGTGAATTTGGAGAAGGATAGAAGTCTCCTGTTGGGCTTGGCTCCATATTTTCATCTATGGAGATAGTTTTGGGTCTTTTGCTGTTGAAGGATTGTGAAATTTGGCAGTGAATATGATATTCAGCTAGTAGTGGTATATAAACTGTTCGGATTTCAACAAATATTTCAATAGAGAGTAATTCAGGCTTGCAAAGGAAAAAAAAGTGGATATTAGAGCCTACATTAACTTGCACAGGTGATGTTACTTAGTAATATGTAATGCAGGTATGTGCTTGCATTTTTCATCTGACTTAATATTTCAGAGATGGCATGAACGGGTAACATAAAATCTACCAACATTTCACTGAACAACCAAGAAACCAGTTGCTGTAGCCTACCAAAGAGAGATTGTGTCATGAGGGTATTAAATATTACACAGAAACCAGGAAAGCAAAACAATTCACTGTAAAGTATTACTAATAAAGACAAGGTAGAACAGGACCTTTTGTGAATGTGTAAATGAGGAAAAAATGTATTTTATTGTATTTCATCAGATCAAACTCCTAAGCTTTTCAAAGGGGTCTAGCTTGAAACAAACACTTTTCACTTCTGACTAGTTTAATCAAAAACAACAAAAGGCCCATATTTCAAGTTACACTATACGAAATGAGGCAGAACTTCAATACAGTGGGGGAAAGTCAAGATTCTTCATAGCAATATATACTGAGCTGTTATAGTGACTGCCAAAGAAAACTAGGATGAAGGTTTTAATTGTGTGTCGTTGTTGTTATTACTATTATTACTACAACACTGTGATAATTAATTTATCTATTCTAAATAATCCATATATTCTAATTAATCCATCCATTTCTAAAATGTACACGGTTTACTGCTAAACTGAAAATATGATGGAATGAAATAGGGGAACATGAGCAAAGTAATTCAGAAGCACCAGGTGCTGGTGAAGGAATACCTCAGCCCCCTGACAGTCCTGTTAAATCCTGTCCCACTGTGCAGACACTCCCTAACTCACTGGATTGCAGAAACGTGGGGCAATGACAACTCCTATAGTGTTTATGAGTTCATGGTATATCAAACAATTTCATAAAAGCAAGGGGCCCCAGAAGCCTGACAGACACTATGTTATCTGGAAGTGGGAAAGAGAGCACTGCAGGTCCCCTCCCTCTGTGGGCCCATCAGCCTCTCCTGAGGGAAGAAATGGAGTCTTTCTCAGAGATAGGAGAAGAGAGCATGTTGAACAAGGAAGAAGTGGGTTCCTCAGATTAAATTGCACCTGGAGCCTGTAACTACCTCACATGTTCCTCCTTGTTCCCATTCTGTTCGGAACTGCTCCCTGAGTGAAGCAGGAAACACACTTTCATGAGCTGGGCTGATGTTACGGATAAAGACACCTTTTCTTTACATACCCAGCTTAATGCCTTTTCCACGAGAAACAGTAGCTTTCCTAACATATATCTCAAGACAGAGATCCAAGAGGGAGCTCCCAAAGACAGCCTTTGTGTCTGTAACCACCCTGAGACCTGCCAGCATGTTCCCAACTGCTAAACCTTCCTCCAACTCAGCAGCATTTTTGGGATGTGTAGCTATTCTCTTGGTAGATGATTTAGTGAGCACTTCAAACCCTGTCAAAAGTTATCACCATCTTCAATATCATAGGAAATGACAGGCAATAATTACAACACTTCAAATTACAAGATTTATAACTTACATATCTGTACATAGATTAGGGTACATACATAAGTAGCTAACCTCGCAAAATCAGAGGAAATTCATAAAATAGTTGGTTATTGACAGTATTTGTGAATTGCTTGTCCTACACTATTAAACATTAGTACTCATTTGAAGTTTTTACCTGCTTGGTGGAGAGGACAAGGACCTCTGTAGATTTACACCCGAATTCATATCATGGTAATATGGCTGGCTCGGAAGCTCTCCAATTGGGAAGTTCACTCCAGTTCCCTGGGTTATGGGTGCTGAAAAACACATCATAACACGTCAAAGATAATCTTCTATCTTTTCAGCCATCTTTTCATTTTTAACACTTGGAAAAATATCAAGATGTTACTGCAGGTATCTAATTTTCTCCCTCTTGCAGAAACCAAGTACAGACAAGTTCTATCAATGATTATATATCTAAAAAAGTGAATTATCTTCCTCAGTACCTAGAAATTCCTTAACAGTTATGCAGACATAATACATCTGTTTTATAAGCGATAACATGGAATCACTAATATGAAAAAGATAACACAAACCTCAAACATTATAATGAATGATGCCAAGTTTACGAGGACAGCTAGCATTACTTATTAAAGAACTGAAAAAAAATGGAAATAATAAACCCAGGGATACAAAAAATCCTTTTCCCTTAATGGTAACTCTTTTTTGTTAATAATAGCCTTCGGTGTTGAGCACATGATTTTCTGCTTTCTTTTTCTTTCACCCAGTGCCACAGGTTCTGCTATGCATATGTACACCTACACAACAAATACATACACTCAGCACTATCTTCACCTCCTGTGTACCATACAGACTCTGGCAACTCAAGAGTAAATTATATGTTACATATTGTGGTGTATTTACCTTTGTTCATTGTCTGTGCATTGTGCATTTTAACTACCTTTGGAACTTAAAAGAATAATTGCATGTTGTGTAACGTATCTGTAGGTTTGTATTTTTCCTGACAGTTGCGGCTTGAGGTTAAACAAATGCATGGTAAGAAATCCCACAGAAACCACATGCTTTAAAGCTTATTATTAGAAGTATATCATATATAACAGCTGCATAAGGCAAGATTTCATAGCGTAATTACAATACTGTTTCTTTTTCAGTCTCAATAGCCTGCCACTTTAGAATGTATTTAACCACCTGACAAAAGAAAGCTGTAATTCACACATCCTCAGCCTCCTAAAAAAACAAAACCGTATCTTCAGCAAGCACAAAAAAAAGAGTATGCCTTAACAATGCAGGATGGCAATGCTCACTGTTTTGCCGAGGTACTTCAGATAATTTTAATTGTTGAATACTAATTTCTGACCACAGCAAATGAAATAACACATGCATTTGAAGCCTCGGTAAGTTAAAGAAATTCCTCAAACATCCTGACCTGGCATGAATTAACAACTGTGCAAAATCTGGACAAACAGTTTTGGAAACTCGAGTTTCCTCATCTCACCAGAAAAGAGATTATTCTGGCCCATTCAGATTTTATAATGCTGATATCACCACTAGCATTTAATACATTAAGTTAATTATCTTTTATATCCATGCTGCAATTTTTCTTTTAAGAGCTACAAATTAAAAAACAAACCAAAAGAATAATCAGGCATCTTAGCAAAATTCAAGGATGTATAGGGCAACTTTAAAAAGCTGAAAGTCTAACAAATAAAAATTTTGCTACATAAGGTAATTTTATTGATAGACCATTAAGGTGTGCAGAGAGAGATATAAAAAATTGATTCAATCTTTAAATATCAAGGAGACAGAAGAAGACCTTATTTGTTTTATTACAAACACATGTAAGATGAACAGTAATACTGTGGACAAATATATCAAAATTGTGCATGGTTATAGGCATTTTCTATGCAACTTACAACTTGAGGAGAAAAAACTTCAAGGGAAAATCCTTCACTTGATTATAGTAGGCTTTGGAAATTATTAAATGCAAATGATAACTTACTTCTTGACACCCTCACAAGTTCTGACACGTTGAATACACCGGATTTCACAAAACTGTCTTCAAGGTACACTGAAAAAGATCACAGTACCATAATCAGTATAATGAAAAGATTAATAAATAACTATAGATAGGTTTATACACCAGCTAATAATGGTATCAACAGAGTCCCAGAACTACAATACACAGATCAAAGTACACTGAAAGCTGCTCACAGAATCTAATATATAAGATAAATGTATATGATACACTTTCCCTTCTGTGAAATTCAGGCTCAATTTGAAGTACTGCAGTGAAACAGCAGATGATAATCAAGACTTATCTCAGTACTGTAACTAGATAACCTTATGAAAAGAGAGCTAAGAAACAGTTTTCTGTGGAAGTCTCATATCAATAATCGCTGCAAGACCTGTATTACTGAATTTGAGATTACATGGCATCATAGCCTTTAGAGGTAGTAATAAACACCATTTACCAATAAAAATATTTAGATCTAGACTTAGTGCACGTTGCTGCTCCAACAGTGTTTTTATTTGCCTTCATATGAGACAGTGCACTAAGAATTTCTTACTGTGGATTCTCTAGTCTCTTTTCTGAATTAAAACAGCTTTCTTTCTTTTGGAAATAAACTGCCAATTTTCTGTTCCAAATGTTTGAATAAGTAAAAACATTCTGAATAAACAAACAAATGAAAATTGCACCTACTGGAATATTTACTGGTTTGGAAAAGAATGGTTCAGTACTATTTTCTTTGGGTTTCTTTTGGCAATTACTGCTTTCATCTTCAAGTAATTTAGCAACACTGTCACTATAATAATAAAAGTGACTGTAAAAGCAGTACACTTCACTTGAGAGGTCCATCCTTGGTATACCTGGATAAATCTCTACTTACTTTTCATGGTCAAACAAAAAGGGCAGAGGCCAAAAGAGTGGTTTTCACTGCTTACTCACAGTCTGTGAAGTCCCACAGAACTGTCTCCTCCATCACCTCTGGTATATTTACCAGTGCAGGTATAAACAGTGCACCTGACGACATAAGCTGAAAGAATCTGAATGAATTTGACTGAGCACCTTTCCTGACATCTCTGTTACACTGTCAGACCCAAGTGCTGTGGGTGTGCAGAGCATTGTAGGCCTGTGGGATCATCCTGAACAGTGTTCTGCCAATGCTGTCATCTTCTCATCTTCCAGTCAATGTCACTTCGCACACTACGCTTGCATGTCTTTATTTCCACTAGTAGCTCTGCAGGTTTCCCTCTCTTTCTAATTCATTTCCTTCCACATTTCTCTCTCTTTCATTTTGAACAGCTTCTCTCCATCTCCACTACTTTTTCCTCTCTCATTACCCTTCCCCTGGATGTTGCAGGCCTCTGCAACCTTATATATCTCCAGTAAGAGTTTTCTCTTTCACCTTCTGCATTCTCTTGCACTCCTTCTCCATGTTTTTTGTGTGAATAAAAAGATGGCATTGCTTCCCAAATATTTACTTCTTTATTTGACAGAACTTGGCATACCCATGTCATAAAAAAATATAAAGAGTAAATTTTTATTTCTCCTTTCCGTCTCAGTTTCTGGTTTTTAACCTAAGAATGGGCAAGCTGGATGAATACTAGTGATTCCTTGAACAATGGCAATCTTTCCCTTCTCTGCTTATTTGCTCTAGCAGGATACATCTGAAGTACCACATGGAAGGGAGATTTCCAAAGAATTTGGTTTCTTGATTTTAGTTGCCCCATAAGTAAAGTGTGGCTTAAAGCCAGCGTACAACCATGCAGCCAGCTCTGAAGCTGGTAATGAGACATGGTTGAACTTCTCTGCTGTTTTTTCAAACACCACTACTTTGGAGCACAATGCCTCTCATTCAAGTCAGACTAACTTGAGAGGAGCTTTTCCCAAGTGTAGATTAATCAAACTATATTATAGTGAGAACAAGGCCCAAGGCTCCTATTAAAAGAAGAAAAAGCCTGTTTCAGATTTTATACACAGATGTGTACATGTGTATGCACATACACACTCAGACATACATGTTTAATCTTCAGTCTTCTCTCCTGAATTCTCAGTTTTTTCTCACTGATAGTAATGAGAATATCCATGAAGAGCAATACAGCATTTCTCTCCTCGTGATAACAAAATGGAGCAGGGAAAAAATGTTGACACCGTGATACCACTATGTATCATTCCCTCACAAAAGGATGCATTGTTAACTGATGGATCACGTCTTTCACCCAGGTTTCATTCTGCCTTGGATGGGCCAAAAATAACCACACCCACAGATATATGCAAATGCTTTGCCTGGCATAAGGAAAGAGAGGGATCAATCTCCATGAACTTAAAAAACAACTAGACTTTTTTCTCTATGTTATGTGACAAAATATTATTTAAAAAATTGATGCAACAATAAACAGTCTATCTCACAGGCACTGAGAAACTTCATCCTGAGTCTCATATTCCCACAGGGAAGGTGGACTCCAGTGGTGCCTCTAGGTGCAGAACAATAAACACAATATGTTCAAGTCCTAGAAAACGTCAAGTTTCACCTAGTTATGAAGATAATCTATGGTGGGTATGTTACAGAACTATTCTTGGTACTCAGCTGTGCAATAGGAAAATGTTCTTGCCATTAAACAGCTGCTATTTGTTGCAAGAAAATGCACTCTCTATAACATAAAGGTTAAACAGCAAGACAGTATGCAGAAGGCCAACAGTACAGAACATTTTCATTTTACGGTGTGACAGTGCCTTTTACCTTGTGAAACTGATCACCCTACTGAATTAGAGTTAACATTCATATTCTCGTTACTACACTGCAGGCAAGACAAAAATACGTAGTGATACTTCATATGGTGTAGGTCTTACCTTTTTTTTTGATTAAGCATTCCCTAATGCAGTGTTTGCATGAACATGTTAAAAAGCCTTAAATTAGCATTCTTGTTGTGTGTTTATGATCTGTTCAGTAGAGACATTAATGCACTTGATCATAGTCCATTGTTGTATTCCTCATAGAGGATTTACTGTATCTTTCGATGATCATGATAACACTTTGCTGTCTCTATCATTCAAACCTAATGAAAGCATTGAGTATTGTCATTTACTAAAATTCATCTTGCCTGAGAGATGGCACTGCCTGAAATGCATGCATGCATTTTACTAATTGACATTATTTTTCAAAATCTGATTTTTACAAAAAGAACATTTCTGACAAAACCACCATAGCGCAAGTTGCATAAATACTCAGTAACTTCCAAACCCCATATATAACAGTAGATCGTTTTCTGTATTTCCTTCCAGCTTTTGTACTGGGTGAGTATAAAATCTCTTTTCTCTGCTTACCTTTTTTACAGAAAACTCATTTCTAAAAAATATATTTTCCAAACAATTCCACAATGGCCAGGCCAGTGACATCAAGTATGAAAGGTAAAGAGGTTAAGCCGAGAAGCAGTTCTGATCAAGTGCCCATATGCAATGGTAATGGGAGAAACCTTCAGTAATGCCTCCAACTGCTATAGAAGTCATTCTGTCCTAGTCCTTCTACTCTATTCCTGTACTATGCCTTCTACTATGCCTTCAGGAGATGAGTTACGAGTATAGCTTTTAACCATTTTAAACATGCAGAGACTTAAACTAAGGGGGGAAAAATAAAATTGTATAAGCCTACTGAAAGATAAATTCAGTTTGCACTAACAATTACTCTAACGGGCTTGTTCTCACATTACTTAAAAGCTTACTAGTGACGTTTAGCTTTACAAATCTTTAACCAGTCTTTTTATGTCTTCTAATTCAATTGTACTTTTATGAATAGAATGCCTGTTTACGTTCTGTTGCATATTGACTAGGGCCAAACCATAAAACTATTTCCTGGTATCATTTTACATCTAGTTTTTTCACTGATACTGCCTTGGTTTTGAGTAACCTATAAAACAAGGGTACGGATCCAAACAGTGCTGGAACAAATTTGTATTAGTGCACTTTTATTTATGGATCCTTAAAAAGAGTAATTACACAGAAGTAGATACTGTAGAGTAATACTACTATAATACTATAATACTATAATTCTACTGTACAGTAGAATGATGTTGCATCTGTCTTACTGCTAGTATAATTCTGCTGTGCAGTAGAATTATACTAGCAGTAAGACAGGTACAACATCAGAAGCTACTATGAGAAGAAAGGCTGGAAGCTTCAGCCTGGTCTATAGCAGAGAGCTGTATGTAAACTTCAAGTTATGCAATGTAATGTTCTGGATGCTGTTACAATTTTGTACAGCTATTTACAGTCCAAACTGATAGTGAAAAATTAGTCTCACACTGTTCTTTATAAGTCAAAATATAGCCAGCAGACATGTAGTTTGCTTTCTTACTTCATGCTTTTTGAAACCAGTATCTGAAGAAAGGTACGGGAAACAGGTTGCCACCAAACCAGAGTACTTAAAGGCAGTTATGGGTGGCTAGTATTAGCCAAGGAGTGACAAAGAAGATTCCAGTGATTATGTCATTTGAAACACTTGAACTAAGGTCTGTCCAGAGAATAAGGCTATATTGATTATCGCGCAACCATCTCCAGCCATGTGACATACCCACAGCTTATTTTGGTTTGTTTTTCCTGAAAGTTGCAATAATGTTTTAACTGGGACAGGAAACAAACATGCTGAAAAAAAGATGCCCTGACTCCATTGAACCTTTTAGCATGATGAGAAACTAAAAACCTAAATATGCCATTTTCAGAAACAAATGAGATTTTCAATACCCTCAAGATTATAGCCGGAACTACAATATCCTTCATTGTTGCAGTAATTTGAAGAAGTAAACACCAGTTTTAATGGACTCTGGAATCCATGTACTAGAATCCAAGAAGTGAGTTGCCCTGAAATCTAGCAAGAAACAGAAAGGGTAACTAACACAAATGCAGACTTGCCTTCCACTCCAGAAGGTCTCAGGTTATACAGAAACTACAGTCAAAATTTAAGAAGAGGTTGGGGGGACTGCTTCCTAACAGCTATGGTATTACCAGGTACCAAAAAGGAATTTTCTGATGCCAAAGCAGGTTTCAGGAATTCTAACTGGCAACATAAGATT